ACTAATGTTAACAACAGAGGTTTGGATACGCGTCTTGTTGAGTGCATTTGTCATTTGTTTTGCTTGACTGATATGTAACTTGTGACGCAATGGTCGCAATCGTCGTTTTCGCAAGTAGGCGCACCCAACTCATGTTTGCTTGTGTATGTGCAATAGGGGAATTTTACATTTTTATTTCTTTTTTAATATGTGATTTTATTTTGTTATGCTTCTTTTAACTTTTTTTTTAACTTAACTTTATTGCTATTACATAGGGGGATAAGAAGTCCCCTATGTGATAGCCAATTTACATGACAGGTCCTCTTTATGGAGACATCAGGGGTCTCCAAGGCCCCTAATGTCACCTAGGGACCCACAGAGAAGCTGCTGAAGCAGAGATCTGCTTCACCAGTTTCTCACCGGCTTCTATAGCTGGGAATGACAGCTGAATGCTGAAGTGATGTAATATACATGACTTCCTGCATTCTGACACCGGAGAGGAGTTCAGAGGGAGATTGTGTACTGACCCGCACAACTTACACGCAATCCAGCGGCTCTATAGCCGCCGGAACATTTGTTTTTAAACAGCCATCACAGGCTGTTTACATTTAAGTTAGTTTTTGTGCGCACGAGTGGGGGTGGGGAAGAACGTTTTAAAACGCCCACCCGCATCTACAAGGCTCCCGTCCGGCTGTTTAGGTACGACTGCTGGATGGCAGGTGGTTAAAAGCAATATCTGGCTTGAACATTAGTTCAAAACAAATAGTTTTGGTTTAACAGCTACTAGCTATTTTTTTATGATTATGACTTTATACACAGTTGCGATTGCTTTATATCACCATAGTACATTGTGTGAGACACTAAATTTAATATTTGATCTGTTTCAATATATGAAATAACACAGTTGAGTACTGTTCTGGTTTTGCAGTAACATTTTCAGGACAAGCTTTCAGAGGTCTACCCCCTTCTTCTCAGTCCAATCAGTAATGAGGAGACACAAAAGGTTTAACAAAATGTTAAGAAAAATTTAATTCTTCAAAGACTACAATCTCAAAAAACAAACAAACACACAAACAAACAAAAAACACACTATTTGACTGCGATTTAAAAATCTAGGTCCACATTCAATTATCTCCAGTGTCAAACAGAATTATCACTATTAATGAACGTGACGCATTGTCCAACTGGACGAGGGGTGATGACATCACAATCTGCCCCTTGACCATTCAAAAATCTCCTTGAACAGGCAGTCCCCGAGTTACATACATCCGACTTACATCCGACTCCTGCATACAAACGGAGGCTATTACTGTACAGCAGGGGTAGTTGTAATGCTACCACGCTCGTGCCGATGAGAAATGCCCGCCTTTTTGGGTCTGGTTCGTAGTACTGTACGTTCATTACAGGAAGTTGGCTCTTGTTAGACGTGCAGACGAGGAGTGCCCACCTCTTCTTCTGGGTCACTGTGAGGTTTTTACTGCTGTCTGTATCCCCATTAGGGAGATTTAATCTCACTTCCTGACCTTGAGACAACAGGAAGTGAAAGGAAATCTACCCCTAAGAAGGGAAATTCACTCCTGTAAGAGTTAACATGGGAAAAAAGTGGTCTCCACTGAAGCTTTATCACCAATCCTTGTTTCCACGACAACCCAACATTTTCAAAATCCAGGGACAGAAATTGATGTGAAATCTTCTAAACAGGTGCACACACAGCAAAACAAACTTTACAGGGGGTTAACCTTTCCCTATGCTATCCAAAAAATTTGGGGTGGAGTTACACTTAAAAAATGTACCTGTTTCAACTTACATACAAATTCAAACTTAAAGGAGAACTATGAGAGGAGTGATTTCCACTCGCCTCATAGTTCTAGCCGACCTGTGACAATGAGACTGTCACAGGTCGGCTCAGTAGATCGGGAGGTGAGCGAACACATACAGGCGTTCGCTCACCTCTCGATCCTGTCACGGCTCTCTGCCGTGACAGGGGAGGGGCTGGATTCCCCTCTCCCCGCTCCGATCTGCCAGCGCTGACTGGCGGAACGGACGGGGGAGGGGGCCTGTACAGCTGGCTCTGCCTCTAGATAGGCAGAGCCAGCTGTCACTCACGCAGCTGGGCGGATCTCGACGTCCTTGTCGGGATCCGCTCCGGCGTCTCAGTATATACTGAGCTTAGGGTAACGGGAGGACGCTAGTTTGTGTCCTCCCGTTACCCTAAGGAGAACTATGGGGAAAAACACTGACCCCATAGTTCTCCTTTAAGAACAAACCTATAGTCCCTATCTTGTTTGTAACCCGGGGACTGTCTGTATTCATTCAATGAATGGCCACTGTGCCAGATGAGTGACCACCTGTGTTTTTAGAGCAGAGGGGAAAGTCGCTCAGTACAGCACCAGGCAGGACTTGGAAGATTCTTGTAAAGCAGTATTAGTAGGAGTGGCTTTACAGGATCCCCGTGGGCTGGCCAGATATCAAATATGCATACTTACATTGGGTCAAGCTAAAACAATGCAAGGATGAGAAAAAATGTTTACCTGGAGCTCAAATTTGAAGTTCCCTTTTAAATTGAACGTAAACCTTAACAATGAATGTCTCTTATTCACTCTCTTTTGGTCTTTAAATATACAATTGAAAGCATTTTATTATATCAGTTTGATAGGCGGAAAAAAAAATACCTGTTAATCATGTCGGAAATTCAGACCTGTCCTGTGTCCTATGCTTACTTTATGTGTTATCTAATGCAGAAATTAGCCCTCCCAGTCCTTATCTTGATACTACAGAATGATTAGCCTTTATGTTGTGGTGATGGAAAAGTAGTATTTGGCAAGAGAAAACTTGCAGGACTGACACCACTCGGTGTACAAAAAATGCTATGTGTTGTCAGCAAACATTGCATGAGAGTATTTCTGGCAGATCAACAGGTATATTTCGTACTTGTAGTCTCTTTAAAGGGATAAAACACAGGGAAATGTGCATGTATTGCAGCTGGCATACAGCACTAATCCCAGGAGCACTCCATAGAAGAGCTTCTAGCAAATGCATTGTGTTTACATTAGAAGTGATGTAATGTTACAGGTGATGCCATGGTACTTCCTCTGAATATAGAGGCTGGGTATTGTAGTACCGCACATTGCACTGCGGTTGATTGCATTGCGGGTGGGAGGTGCATTTGTGGTGTCATTCAAATGAATAGCAAAGCACCTCCTGCATGGTAGGTGCATTGCGCGATACCGTGTGTTAATCGTTTAAAGGAGAACTATGGGGTTAGGGCTTTTCCCCATAGTTCTCCTAAGGGTTACGGGAGGACACAAACTAGCTTCCTCCCGTCACCCAAAGCTCAGTATACCGCGAGCTACAATTCTGTCTGGATCCACCCAGCTGCGTGAGTGAGCTGGCTCTGATCGGATCGGGGAGGGGGGAATCCAGTCACTCCCCTGTCACGGCTCTCTGCAGTGACAGGATCGAGAAGCGAGCAAGCGCCGGTATGGGTTCGCTCACTTCCCGATCTACTGAGCCGACCTGTGACAGTTTCATTGTGACAGGTCGGCTCAGATTATGAGTGAAAATCACTCGCCTCATAATTCTCCTTTAACGCACCGCCATCGTGTGAAAGGGCCCTGAAGCAGAACTAAACTGTAAGGCTGGGTTCACACCTGAGTGTATTTTTCCTGCTCGTTTTTCAGCTCGTTTTTTCATTCAGTGAAACGCGTGTATGATTTTTTTTGTTTTTTTTCCTTATTTTCTCTTTTTTTAAATTATTATTTTTTTTCACTTTCAAACTTCCCGCCGGCTCTGCCCCCCGTGCGACGCGGCCGCTCGGAAGGGACGGAACCCGGAAGTCGGCAGCCACCGGAGGACACAGCTAGGATCGCGGACAAGGTAAGACCTGTACGCTGTATTCCCGAGTGTGGCTCGGGGTTACCGCTTTGTTAACCCCAATCCACACTCGGGAATACCAATGAAGACGCGTGGAAAAACGCCCCAAAGTAGCTCCTGTACTTCTTTGGGCGTAGGCCGTTTTTCAGTGCGTTCCTACGCGTTGTAAAACGCCTACGTGGGAACCATGCCCATAGGCTGTTATTGGTTTTCACATGTTGAGCGTTTTACAGCTCGTACGAACGCTCTGTAAAACGCCCAGGTGGGAACCAGTCCTAAACATAAGAATATTACCTTTTATGGAGTACAGCAAGTAAAACAGGGCTGCATTATTTGTTACATAATAGTCTGCCTTATTTTGTACATTTTCTCTCCCTGTACTGTGCACATCCTGTAAACTCTTTGTATGAACTTCCTGTAAAAGTGTGCACCCTCCAGCATAGCTGAACATCACAGTTTTACTACTGTGACTATCGCAGAATGTGCCACCGCACTGTGCATAGCCATGGCTGCTTGTGGTTCAAATTAGGAGCACACAGGAATGCTGCAGTGGAATTGAGTAACTGTTGTCTCCATGGGAAAGGGAGTGCCTGTGAATGCACTTTGCAGGCATATTTTAAAGAGTATGTAAACAAACCTCTTATTTGAATCCTTGTGGTTTGTAAAATATACAAATAAAAACATATTTTCAATAAGTGCAAAAAAAATAAAAAATGAAATAATTTTGCAAGAAATCTTGTCAGCTGATAACTTTTTATGCTCTCTACCTGTGCTGACTGTTATCAGTTACATTGTTCACAGCTACCTCCGAGAACTAAATGTGTTTACAGTAGAGTAAGTAAGCGTCGTCACCCTAAGACAGGAGGAGTATTACTGGCAGGATTACCAGGTAAAAATAAAGGGAAAAGAAACAGCCACCTCATGTAGACCAAGCCTCGATTTCTACCCAAGTCTTCACTAAGTGCTGTCCCTTCCCAATGGTAATTCCAACCATTCACTAATGCCAGAGCCAGAGTCACTAAAGTTCTAGTACTGCACTTTTAAATGGGGGCGGGGTGGGGTTGGCATTGGAAAGTGGAAGGGACAGAGATTTAAGAAGCAGGCAGGCTTACTTTAAATGTCTGAGTCAAGATGTTCTATTCCATTACCTTTCAACAATGATGTGTGTTTGATAGCCATCCTCCCAACCAGGCACTCTTTCAGCATGGATTCATAGTTGACCCAGCGATGAACCTATGAACAAAAATATCTTAAAATGATACACTGCACAAATCTGTAAAGAAAGAGAACTTGGACTACAAATTATTAATTAACCTCATTAGCCAAAAGGAATGTGTGTGAGACAAAAGGGGTCAGATAAGCTTTGTAGTTACCAATAAGTACCCAAGTTTTTTCCATTCAGAATGGCCTGATATTTGCCCGTAGCAAAGAGAAATAAGAACTGCTGCAGGAATGCCATTTTATACCTATTCGCAGCTGTATTTTCTTTTTTTTTTAAAGAGACAAAGTCACAAAAAGCAGTTTTTGAATTATGAAATCTGTTTTATACAATGAAATGTATATGTCTATAGCAAGGTAGTAGTATACAAATTAAATGTAAAAATAATACAAAAAACAAAACACTATATGGTATTGTACCTCATCAAAAAGTTGTGTACCGTCTGCTCCTGCTGCCTTCATTAACTCTTCTTCACCACCCGGATGATATTCCATATAAGGAGTGACATTATATACAAGCCCTGTAACAAATAAAATGCTTGCATGACCTGTTGCTGAATAACATACAAGGACATCACAGCTAAAGAACATATTTAAACTGCTTAAAGCAGGACTATTGACTTTCTGCAGCATTTGAAACTGCTGACAGATTTTCCTGTTACAGTTGTTTTTCAAGTTTTCCAATGCAGTTACTGATGATCATATTAGCAGTTTGTACATGCATACAAAAGTATTGTCATGACCTACAGCTGCTACAAAGTTGCTAGTGTGATATGGCCCAGTGTCAGTGAACACTCAGACTATGAATGTAACTTAGTAGTCACAAGGTGGGAACGAGTAGCTCTTAGCTGACCTGATCTTTACACGAATCTTTAAAATTAACCCAAACATAAAGGCTACTAAACAGAGGATTTAAACGATCATGACATGTAGGAGAAGGATTTTAGGTCAGGATTTTAGGCCATAGTTCTCCTCAGGGTAACGGGAGGACACAAACTAGCTCCCGTCACCCTAAGCTCAGTATACCGCGAGCTACAGCTCGCGGTATACTGAGACGCCGCAGCCGGAGCGGATCCCGACATCGATGTCGAGATCCGCCCAGCTGCGTGAGTGACAGCTGGCTCTGCCTATCTAGAGGCAGAGCCAGCTGTACCCGCGCCCTCCCCCGTCCGTTCCGCCAGTCAGCGCTGGCGGATCGGAGCGGGGAGGGGGGAATCCCGCCCCTCCCATGTCACGGCAGAGAGCCGTGACAGGATCGAGAAGTGAGCGAACACCGGCATGTGTTTGCTCACCTCCCGATCTACTAAGCCAACCTGTGACAGTCTCATTGTCACAGGTCGGCTAGAACTATGAGGTGAGTGAAAAGCACTCACCTCATAGTTCTCATTTAATTACAAAATCAATATTGACGCCGTGAATTTCAACCGTACTGAATATGCAGCTTCTGTGAGCGCGTGAATGCATTTAATGTTTAGATGTGTTGTAATCTTTACTGTCTAGAAATATTACACTGTGGGGGGAATTTATCAAAACTGGAGCAGACAGAAACTGGAGAAGTTGCCCATGGCAATCAATCAGCTTCTTTCTTAAGTTTGTTCAGTTAAGATTTGTAAATGAAAGAGAGAAGCTGATTGGTTACCATGCACAGCTGCTCCGGATTTTGTCTGCTCCAGTTTTGATAAATCCGCCTCTGTGTATTCTGATGTCAGATAAAAATATTCATGCAGTGTCTTCTTTATCACTGAAAAAAATTAAAAGAACTGCTTTACTGAGAGATCTACAAAAACGAATTGTATTAAAAGAAGATTTAAAATAATGCTTATAAAAATTCAAACTTCTAGTAGACCTGAATTACAAAGTGAATATCACATAATCCATGCTGTTATTATCTCGGTCTTAGCCAGTGGTAAAACATTATACACAGAATAATATGTTTTCTTAGTTGCGATTATAAGCGCCACTGACCTATAGAAAGTCTCACATAAGTGATCTAGTATGATCTAGAAGGAGACAAGAATTATAAGATTTTTGCACTTACTGTAAAATCATTTGGTTGGAGGCCATCTAGGAACACAGGAATTCAGATACAGTCAGGGTATATTGCCATGAACAGGAGGATCAGACAGTAGGAAACAGAAATATTGTAAGCCAACCTCCATATCCTCTACCCAACATGCCTCAGTTTTGGGGCACAGCAGTACCAAAAGGCTGAATGAAAACAGAGAGGGATAAGACCTACAGTATGTCCCTCAAAGGAATCCAAGTCACGGATTTTACCATAAAAACAGTCAGGACATCCAAAAGCAGACCAACTGAGGGGTGTAGCCTCAAGGGAATGTGATGCAACTCCAGAGTTAGTCAAAGGACTCAAGAATTTGATCCCACAAAGACAACACAACTGAAGAGATGGAGTGCAGGTATGGGAGACCCAAGCTTTTTCTTATCGGTGCAGAAAATGCAGCAGTATCGATGGTGTTCAACAAACTCCGATCAAGAAGAACTACCCAGAGTGAACTCTCTAAATGTGGAAGGAACCACCATCTGTTCTGGGGAACCAAACAGCAGCCCAGAGATGATGGTTCTCCCATAGGGGGAACACTCCGAATAGGTGAAGACCTCTTACCAGCTAATGTATAGGTAAACATTACCAAGGACTAGCTGGTCCATAAAAGACAGACCCAATGGACTGCTCAGAAACTGAACCTGGTGCAACAGTGAAGAGAACCAAGAAGACATGGGAAAAGGGGAGACACCACTGAAACAGTGCCCCAACATCCAATGCTCTTGTAAAAAAGGGGAGAGGGGCAACCCTGTGTCTGAAAACAAGGGGTTGACAAGTAGACATGCTGTGGGCTGTTCCAGCAAGGGACTATGATGGTTAGCATTACAGACAATTTTTAGTGCTGAAACCTGACAAGGCCAGATTCAACCAGAACTTACAGGTATTGAGCCACTAGAGGTGATGTTGCTCACCAAGCTCCACAACACCTGCTGACTTCAAAGGAGGTTGTCTGAGTGTCTCACATGCTCCGAGAGGTATCAGGTATGTGTAAGCAACACTGAGGATGTGGAAATGTTATTCAGATAAGGGATGGTTAAAGCTGGTCCTAACTGACATAGTCAGAGAATCCCTCTGGGAAGAGCATTTCTGTGAGCACAAGAGTTGTGGAAGATGTATTCATTTGTGTGGTACCACAGTGAAGAGAAAATGGTACAAGAGGCCAGACGATAGCCCATGAGATTAATGAGGAACTCTCTACACCTGAATGCCTGAAAGGCAAACTACCCAAGGACCTGCAAGGATGTACAAAAAGTCCTCCACTTGTAGAAGGGGGACATACCTTCATGCCAAAGGTTTGTCAGAGGGCTCACCTGGTCTCCAACTACAAAACATGGGCTGTCTGGCAGTCAGGTTCAGAGGGGCATCTACTGTAGAAATAGATGAAGCAGAAGGATGCTGCTCAGCCAACCTCTCCCTAGGCCTGGTCTTCTGTGGAGTCTTTGATCATGATATCACGTGTAGGGTCAAAGAGTTGCCAACCCTTGAAGTCCAAGCATGTCAAATGATTTTTGGATGTAGCATCAGCATTTTATCATCATAACCAGCCAGTATTGTGAATCTGAATGCACAGCGGAACATACATTTTGATGCTAGTAATACAACCCCAATTCCAAAAAAGTTGGGATGCTGTGTAAAACCTACATAAAAACAGAATACAATGATTTGCAAATCTCATAAACTGAGATTTTGTTTACAATAGAAAATAGAAAACATATTGAATGTTTAAACTGCGAAAATGTACCATTTAAAAAAAAAAGGTAATTTTGAAATTGATGGCTGCAACACGTCTCAAAAAATTGGGACAGGGCAATAAAAAGCTGGCAAAAGTAAGTGGTCGTAATAAGGAAGAGCTGGAAGAACATTTTGCAACTAGACTCAGAGAGTCTCTGAAGTAAAGATGTACAGAGGTTCACCTATCTGTGAAAAGCAGCATCTAAAAATTGTCGGACAATTTCAGAATATTCCTCCTCGGAAAATTGCACAGACTTTAAATATATCATAATCTACAGTACATAATATCATCAAAAGATTCAGAGAATCTGGAGAAATCTGTGTGCAAGGAACAAGGCCAAAACACAATATTGGACATCACTGCATGGGCTCAGGAATACTTTGAAAAATCACTGCTTGTGAACTAGGGATGCACCAATACCAAGTGCCGTACTCGGTACAAGTACAAGTACATGTACAGATACTTTTCAAGCTCCAAGACTAGACAAGTACTGATACTTGGCCAAGTAATTACAAGTACAAGTACTGATACATTTATTGTCATGTGAGTTTTTCTAAAACAATATCGACTAATGATTTCAGGACAGCAGTGGAGCGCCTGAACTAAATTTAGTGCACAGAAACAGAATATAATACACAATTTTTTAGTAACATATAAAAGATGGGGTCACGTCGGGTAAATAGAGACCAAAACATGTCAAGCCTTAAAACTGCATTTGCCCGTGAAAGCGCAAAAAACTTTAAATACCCCAAATTTCCCACGGCGAACATTTTAAACGCTTTTGCCGGTCTTTAATTTAGTGCGAACAGTGATTAATGGCTCTAAAATTATTGCTCTCACGCCCACCTTCGTGGCGATATGCAACATGTGTAGCGCAATTGTCGTTTGTGCATGTAGGAATAGCGATGCGTGGTTGCGTCTGTATTTTTTGCATTTATTTTTAAACACTTTTTTTTAGGGATGCAAAACAACTAATCGGCATAATCGATTATAATCGATTATTGAAAAAGTTGTCAACTTTTTCTATAAATCGATTAATCGGCTTCCGATCAGTTGGCCCTGTTCACAGCTCCACACGTACACTAACCTTATTGCTATTACATAGGGAGCTAAAAAGCTCTCTATGTAACAGCAAACAGGATGTGACAGGTCCTCTTTGTGGAGACATCAGGGGCCTCCCAGACCCCTAACGGGCCCCCTAAGAAGATGATGTACAGACGCCGGATCACTTGCACATATACAGCAAATCGCCTGCTGTTTAAAACGATATCAGGAACACAGCTGCTGCAGCAGCAGCCGCCGCGTTCTTGGTATAACCATTTAAAGCGGATGACGTGTATTTCCGTGAATCCGCCTGAAGTGGTTAGAGAAGTTGTTCTGGGACCAGGGGAGGCAAAATATAAGCAGATTAAACTACAGATTTAAAACAAGCCCTCATTCACCTTTGTTTATTCGAGAAATTAAAATTTCACATCAGAAAATACTGAAATCTTAAGCTGGCCATACACCTTACAAACATCGCACGACTTTCGTTGTGCGATGGTTGTAAGGTCATTAAAATTTCGTACGCCCTGCCCATCTTGGACAGGCAGATCGTACTTGCGAACATCGCAAGCCCTTCCTGCTGAGGTGCGGGTTCCTGATGATTGCAATGCTGAGCGGGCAGTGTGCGCTTGCGCTCCCTGGCCCGTGCGTCTATCGTCTTCCGAAAACGGTAACCCCTGCACGCTGGCAGCTTTTCCAGCGTGCTAGGAAGACGAAAGTTGTGCGACCGTACAGTAGATGCGGTTGCACGCTGCCCATTATCGTACGATAATGGGCAGGTGTATGGGCACCTTTAGCTTTTTTTCTATGAGTGTGGACCTTGGCAGAATGACAGCCCATTAATGTCAACACACAGCAGGTGTTTCTAAGCCATTAGAAACCCCAGACTGAAACCTGACTTTGGAGTCTCTGTTGTGATCTTTGCGAATTTTGTTAAATAAATACATCACAGTACAAGCTGCTAGAGAGGCGAGTGAGGGCTTGTTTTTAGTGGCCATAGTATGGGCAGAGGTGCACTTTAGCGCTGGATTCAGCACATAAGATATGTGCGTTAACAAGTGTTTTTGTGCGCATTACTGTGCGTTGAATTAAGGCAACCCATTCAACTAAATGGATTGGCAACATACCTGAGAAACAAAACAGGCATCAATCATTTTTAGCAACGCAACACATCACAACTCACTGTAGTGTGCTTCCATGAGACATGGTGCGCTGCAAAGCAGGTGCGTTGGTAAGGTATATCATGTGCAATGATGCATCCCAGTGCACCAATGAACATTTCTTTGCAGGTTAATGCTTGCGATGTTGCAGCTCAATAGTGTTAACCCAACCTTACAGCAAAACAAACGTTGAGTTAAACCCAGTGAATGAACTCTGACTTCTAAAGCCCCAGACCATTAGATGCAAGTCCTCTTACTCCACTCTCACATCCCCTGAGCTATTACGATTTTTTTTTGAATCTTTATCTTCTACCAGCTTTTGTCCAACAGTAATTTTCCCCTTTTATGTGGATTTAATCCTTAAAGCCAAAGAGGAAATGTAAGGGAACTGGAGTCTATGACTGTCAATATTTCTATTGCGCTGAAAGCTCTAAAATGTTTCATATGCAAGCAGTTACAGTGCAGGTACTTACCTCTAATACATATCCAGCAATCAGACTTTTTATTGTGTTTTGCAAGTTCCTCTTCTGTCACCTCAATTAATCTTCCTCTTAGGCCTGTTAAATCTTTGCTGCTACTTTTTACTCTAACCCAATCCATCAGACTCCTTCCAGGCTTCAGCGGTGTCTGAAACAAAATATATTGTAATCAAATGTTTGTTGTTTTCTTCTGCAGCCTCTTTCACCATTTTAATGTGGTTTCGGTGCTTTCAAAAGCACCTTTAAAAGGGCCTATGTAGATCAGCAACCAAGGGCATCTGAATCAGTACACTCCTAGGTCGGTAGTTAACCCTTGCAGTACAGGGGTAGACCCACTGCATATGTAACTTTTTCTAAAACCTGGAGTTCCTTAAAGTGACATTAAACCCTCAGATTTTTTAACATAAACCAATACTGTAATGTGTGCCTTACTGTAATCCATGGTTGTTTCCCTTCTCTTTGCTGCTCTTGCTTTTAAATCTGTATCTGTTCTCATGCTGGGCAGAACTTCTGTTTTGCAGCAGACTGCCTTGTCTCAGGAATGGATACACGGTGTCTGTGTGTAGGTTCACAACCTGAGCCAGCACTACAGGAAGAGGCACTCAGCTGCAAAGGGAAGTTCTCCCCAAGCATGAGAAGACATGAGGATTTAAAAGAGCAGCAAATAGAAGGGAAACAACCATGATTACAGTAAGGCACACATTACAGTATTGGTTTATGTTAAAAAATCTGAGGGTTTAATGTCACTTTAATGGTGAAAACAAATTCGTGCAACTCTGTCTCCGAACCTTCCCAAATCATAAACATGCTATCAATGTATCTTCTCCAATGCCGCACATGCTTTTAAAAGGGGGCTGAGGGGAAGATACTTTTTTCTTTAACATTCTCCACAAACGGATTTGCAAATGACAGGGCTGCTGAACTCCCCATTTCTGTACCTCGGATTTGTTTGTAATATGTATATTCAAAATAAAAATAAATTGTTCTCAAGCACAAGGTCTAAATCAGTTAATAAGAACGCAGCATGAATTCAGAGGGGAAATAATAGAACAGGTGCCCAGAGAATACGGAAAAGGCCATCCCTGTGACACCAAGAAGCATATTGGATACATACACTCCGCATGAGCAGAAATAGAGGGTAATTCTACTTTCTCGCCAAGTATGAAAAAATTAAATTACCCACGCAAATCTGCCCCCTCTTAGTTAGCGTGGTCAGGTCATCCCCACACAGCTACCTCCTCATGTATCACTTGCCCCTCCCTTTTAATTTGAAAGCCCTCTCGGGCAGGGCCCACATTACCATCTTGTCTTGATTTGTATTGTGATTGTAATGTCTTCCTTATATTGCAAAGTGCTGCGCACACTGTTAGCGCTATATAAATCCTGTATAATAATATTATTATTATTATAACTGTAGGTACCTGAACAAGGACTTTCATTGTATGATCACAAGGAATTTTTTTAATGGATGACTTTTAAAATTACATTACCATGTAAAACACTTCCTTAAAAGAGAACTATGGGGTAAGTGTTTTTCTCCATAGTTCTCTTAAGGGTCACTGGAGGACATATACTGTACTAGCGCCCTCCCGTGACCCAAAGCTCAGTATATCGCGAGCAGGGAGCCGTGACTGACAATCACTGTTCTCTACAGGGAGATGATCGAGAAGTGATCGAGCGACGCTATGTGTTCGCTCACTCCCCGATCTATTGAGCCGAAGTGTGACAGTTTCATTGTCACACGTCGGCTCAAACTATGAGGTTGAGTGATTTTCACTCACCTCATAGTACTCCTTTGAGTAGACAGAAAGACATACATGTGCATAGCTCAAAGAGTAAAATACCTTCTATAACAGGAGGTACAACATTTTAAACAAAGGGCTACTGTCATTCGGACTGTTCAGGGGCCAGACTGTAGCCAATAGGAGTAAAACAAAATGCCCAGGCAGCTGAGGTCAGAGGGTGTGTTGGCAGTCAGTGGGATAAACATGATATACGGTGAGAAAGAAAAACAATATGTCCCGTGTCAGCAGTCGGTAGGAGTAAAAAAAATGCCCCTGCATGTGGGGGTCTTCTGATTGCAGGGGTAGCATGCCATAGTTTGAGGACCACTGTTCTATAATTACTTTGTTTATTTAGAAGATCAGTAACAAGCATTACCGAGAACTGCTTATTGACATAGCTATAATTTTTTGTTCAATTACATAAAAACCACAGCAAAACAATTAGTCTTCTCTGTAAGAAATATAAACAAAACACAAATTACATTTGAAAGGACACAACCTCCTAGTATAAACACAGCACTTTAGTTTTCATTATTATGTTGCTTTAAAAAAAAAAATAACAAAGAAGTTGCAGAATTGTGATGAAACACAGCAAGACATTACATAAAAAGGTTTAAGAACAAGCTGGCTGTGCTAATAGCGGAAATGTACTGTAGAATGCATAGAATAGAGACGGTAATTAATGATTTCAAAGCAGAACTAAAATATTATTTTATTAACCCCTTAATGACAAAGGTGAAAACAAACATTGAAAGAGAACTATGGGGTAATCTTTTTTTCCTCATAGTTCTCTTCGGGGTCAGAGGAGGACATATACTTATTTCCTCCCATGACCCAAAGCTCAGTATATAGTGAGCTATTCCCCTATATACTGAGACATGCCGCAGCCGAGGCGGATCCCGACAATACTGTCGAGACTCACCCCACTGGCTGATAGGCAGAGCCCGCTGTCAATCTAGAGACAGAGCCAGCTATGTCCGCCCCGTCCATTCCTCCAATCAACATTCCTGAAACCATTCTTGCAGTGTGGCAGGGAGCATTATCCTTCTGAAAGACACTGCTATCAAGGAATACCGTTTTCATTAAGGGGTCAGCAACAATGTTTAGGCAGGTGGTACGTGTCAAAGTAACATCCACATGAATGGCAGGACCCAAGGTTTCCAAACAGAACATCACCCAAAGCGTTTTGATTCGTACGAAAACACCACTAATCCATCAATTTTCGTTCCATTAAAAAAAAAAATTCGAGCCTGACCGATCGGGGAAATTCAGCTAGTTGTACAGTAATTCTGATTGTTCACTTCCCATCAACTGGCCGATTATCGTACGACAACCCGATCTCATTCATTTTTCGAACGATAACCGTAAGGTGTATGGGCACCTTAAGAGGGGAATTCCCCTCACTTTGGGAGATTTCCCCTAACTTCCTGTTGCATCTCTAGGACATGAAGTGGGGGGGAATTTCCCCAGTAGTACATAGACTGCATTAAATAACCTGGCAAGGGTTTTAACCCTTCCCTACTCCATCCAAAACTAACAAAAAAAAGTTGTGTCTACACATACACTTTAATTTGCACTTTCTTAGACAGAGTAACACCATGGTATTTTTACTGAAATTACAAGTGCCCGTGTTTATATTGTTTGAATCAAATTTGCAGCTGGGGATATGAAAGAGCAGCCACACACTGTAACAAAGAGGAGAGAGTTAGCTATAGCCATACCTTGTTTCGACCACCTGCAGACACCCTTTGCTGGGAATTGGGGACAGGGAATGATGGTGTAGGGACGTTCAGCATCTTGTCAATCAGAAAATGCTCAAGCTTGTAGATAGATATGTACAAACACAACTGTCACGTATAACAGAACTGGTTATATATGAGGCATCAAAGAGACATGATGTTAATCCTCAGAAACGAACTATGAAGTAATAGTTAGTTCCTCTACACCCTGACAGCCCAAACACTGAAGTCCCCGAGCCGGACAAGTGACACATGCCCCGCCTATCTAAATATTAAAGGCTCAATACACATGAACGCGACTGTAACTCTGATGTCTCCAAAGAGGAAGCCATTTTCTTGGTGCTGCTCCCGGTCAGGCTATTGACTTTGGTCTCTGAAAACATGGCTGCCTCCGTAGACGTGCAGGTAATTAATAGAAGACATATTTAAAACCATAGTGCTTGAAATGTCAGCCGCACGAGGCGGAACTGAAGAGAACGTCATAGAGCTTATGTGAGGCTTAAGTCGCGTTTTCTTTTACAGTGCTCGCTTCCGTGTGACAGGGTTTTATTTAATGCAGATATTCATTTACGTCACTACATGCATGCAAAGTGGGTGTGGCCGCTGCGCCCCACCTCTTCCGGTTTTCTGTCGAGAATGCCGACCCAGTTCAATTTGCTGACCTCAGCATCTGCTCTTACGCACAGATGGGATTAAGGAGGAAATAGGCATTTATTTAAAGAGTATTCATTTGTAATTTTGACCGTTGATAATATGCCATCCATGGCAGTAAATGATGGATGGCATTTTATGCACATTCACTGTCACAACATCGTAAGAATTTACATTACAATGTAATTCCTTACGATGTTAATTGTGAATGTGCATAACATGCCATCCATCATTTATGGCCACGGATGACATATTATCAACGGTCACAATTAAGATTAAAACAAAATACTTAAATTTAAATACAATAAATGCCTTTTTCCTTGTTAATCCCATCTGTGCACAAGCGCAGATGCTAAGGTCGGCAAATTCAATCGGGTCGGCGTTCATGGGCTGTGCCAGATCTCAGGGGGGCTGTGCAGGATCAGCCTGCAAAACCCCCCACAGATCCTGCACAGCCCTCCTGAGATCTGACAGACTGCAGGATCTGTGGGGGGCTTTGCCAGATCTCAGGGGGGCTGTGCAGGATCAGCCTGCAAAACCCCCCACAGATCCTGCACAGCCCTCCTGAGATCTGACAGACTGCAGGATCTGTGGGGGGCTTTGCCAGATCTCAGGGGGGCTGTGCAGGATCAGCCTGCAAAACCCCCCACAGATCCTGCACAGCCCTCCTGAGATCTGACAGACTGCAGGATCTGTGGGGGGCTTTGCCAGATCTCAGGGGGGCTGTGCAGGATCAGCCTGCAAAACCCCCCACAGATCCTGCACAGCCCTCCTGAGATCTGACAGACTGCAGGATCTGTGGGGGGCTTTGCAGGGTCTTGGGCCTCACCACAAATCTCAGAGCTCACCACAAATCCTGCTAAGCCCCCCTGAGACCACAGCTTTCCTGCTATGCTAATAGCGGAACATGTCAAAAGCTGGATACAGCGTTTGCACTGTATCCAGCGACTGACAGGTCACGCAAAAAGTATTAAATTGAATCTACAGATACAGATGTTGCTTTCTTGTACTTTGGAAATTTAATTTGTTGCATGCGTGAATGGCTCACTGCTTTTCAGTAAGCAAGGAGATAAATGTCAAATTCCAGCCATCAATGGAATTTCATTATTGGTGAGAACATTTCAACCATCAAGGCAAGGGTCCTTAAACTTATTAAACAGGGGGCCAGTTCACTGTCCCTCAGACATTGTTGTGGATCGGATCATAGTTTGAAAGAGGTGGGGGGCGTGGCTGTGGTGCCATTGACTTTAATGCACCGCCACGGCCCCTCCTGTCCCAGAACGAAAGGGGAACTTTAGTGAGTGATTGCTGTGCGTGCCAGCAGCTGCCGCTCTGGAATGCACCACAATTGGTGTGAATAAGCCCTTACTTAGAGGGTATGTATAAATATTTTTAGCAACTTTTTTAATAAATAAAAAATATTTTTAATACAATTAATTTTTCTTAGCCTGGGACATGTACCAGCATGATTTGTTATTATTTTCTACAGCTCAAGTATTTGTTATTTATTCAAATGAATGGGCATGTAGACTGCCCTGTCTTACCTCTTGACGGCGGCGTGCAGCTTTTGGAGAGGCAGGGAGATGACATCACGTCATATCCCAGCTCTCTTCTTATTGGCCGCCCTCCAGGAGCCTGTGCTGGCGTGCGCCCAAAGTTGGTGCTGGCGTTACGCTGCTAAAGAAAGCCTGGCATTTGATTTGCCAGGCTTCCGTACGTCCCGTGCCTCAGCGTTGCTGAAAGGGCGCAGCTGCGCAGGCCAAACATAGAAGCTGTCAGGCCACTAGGACAGCCTGTGTCTCTTCCCCAACACCCAGGCGGGTCCGGAGGAATGCCGATCTCTCCCGGGACCCCACCGGCGGCCGGTCGATTGATTGCTATATGTTGTTTAGGGCGGCTGGGCCTATTTTAAGGTAGGGGCTCCCTTAGCCCCTACGTTAATCTGGCCCTGACTAGGGTTGCCACCTTTTCTTCAAGCCAAACCCGAACAGTGTAGCACCTCGCGGCAATTTTTTGGTAAAGTATACAGTATGCATATATTTTGTAAATAAATAACATTGGAGGTAATCACAACTTTCCAAAAGGTGAAGCCGGTTTCCTAGGCAATCAGGAAGCCAGGCGGCACGTCATGACCCGCCTCTCGACTTCCTGATTGGCTAGGAAGCTGGTTTCACTTGTTCCTAGGCAGCTTGGCTTCCTGACCAATCAGGAGGCAGTTCATTACATGCCACCCGGCTTCCTGATTGGTTAGGAAGCCAGCTTCCTAGCCAATCGGTAAGCCAGGAAGCGGGTCATAACCTACCGCCCGGCTTCCTGATTGGAAAGGAAGCCGGCTCCATGCTCCCTCTGCACTGCTGGACAGAGGGAGAACTCCCTTTGACCGGAAGTTCCGGTATGGGGGGTAAGTATCAGAGCATTTGGACGAGTACGTGTACTTGCCCAAATACTCTGTATCGGCACCGATACTAGTATCAGTATCGGTGCATTCCTAGTGGAAATCCATTTTTTTGATAGTTGTCATTCAAACGACAAGCGCATTCCTGAAGCTGGCCATACAGCTTACAATTATCTGCAGATTTTCTGTGGTCAGATGGAAAAGGTGCAACAGATTCCTCCAGCTACACTTAACTGTGTGGATGAAGTAATCTCCACCTAGGCCAATCTGTTACACTTTTTACATCTGACCACAGAAAATCTGCAGATAATTGTAAGGTGTATGGGCACCTTTAGCCTGATGAAGGGCACCCTGCGCGGCCCCAAACACGCTTGTCGTTTTAATGACACTATCAATAAAATGGATGTTGCACTAACATGGAATTTGGACATCTGTTTTGAAAGATATGTACTATTGCACATAAAAGATGCCCCCACTAGGCTGCTGGAGGATGATTTCTCCCTCGCCCCCTCTCTCTCTGATCTAACTTCCTCTCACTAACAGGAGAGAAACAGTGAGAGGAAGGGAGTGAAGACAGCGCCACCCGGTGCTCGCCACCCGCTGCCTGCCGCCAGGAGCGGACTAGGTTTAGGACCCTGGTGGGCCGGATCTGGCCCGCGGATCGTAGTTTGAGGACCCCTGCATTATTGCACTAGGTGGATATATGAAGGCAGACCCCTCCACATAGAAAGCAGCTTGTTAAAGGACGCTCCAGGTTTTCAAACTCTATACTATTGGCAAATGAGAACTTAGAAGTAATAAGCACATTTGAAAAAAATTTACTGCTTTGACAGAAAAATAAATGACATTAAGGTAATTTTATAAAGGTTTGTGCAGATTATGTATCATATAATGTACTTTTCAATTTGACTGCATTATTGTTTTTATTAAGAACATAAGAAAAGCACTTTCAATTTAAAGTTAGATGACACATTCTGAATCCAGCCATTCCCTTTTCAAGCTCGAGATACAAATTTTAAAATAATTGGCTTCTTGGGCTGCATGAAACCTTGAGTGCTCAACTCCATAGGGATCTGTAAACAGTAGAAACATAAAAAATATATTGTAAGCACCACAAAACAAATCCAGTAAAACAAAATATATTCGGCAATAAAGGATATTTGTTTAAAATCATTATAACTGAATGTTCCTGTTTATTATTTATTACATTCGTTTAGATGGTTAGTCACAAAGCTGCCAAAGGCAGCCAAGTGAATAACCGAGCCGAAATGGACAGAGCCGAAGAACGTTCGGCTACTCACTTCAGCTCTGAAATCAGCCGTACATCGGCTCTGTACGGCTGCCTTCGGTCAGCCGGACCAATCATGCTCTGCAGAAGGATCTGAATAGTCTGAGTCGAAGCTTTGGCAGCTCACTCGCTGCCGTTCCCCCTTGTTGTCAGTCGTAGGTGCCAAACGGCAGGGAGTGAATAGCCGAGCGGCATTCTGCTCAGCTATTCTGCTCGTCAGCTCCGAGGTAGCGAGCAGAATAAAAAAAAAATAAAAGAATGAGAAAAAAATATTTAAACATTTTTTTAATTTAAAAAAAAGGAAAATAAAAAATAAGAAAATGAGAAAAAAAATGAAAGAAAATAAAAAATAATTTTAAGAAACCCGCTGCAACCCGACCGCACGTGAGTGGCACTCAGCTCGGCTTTTCTCCTCGCTATCTCCGAGGTAGCAAAGAGAATAGAAAAAAATTGTAAATAAATGAAATAAAAATGTTTAAAAATGCTTTAAATAAATGTAAAAGGGAAATTTTCAAAAAGTTAACAAAATAATAAAAGCATTTTTTAAAAGAAAATTTAAAAAAACCCCGGCATGGGGTCCCCCTTCCAAAACCATACCAGATCCTTTAGGTCTGGTAGGAAAGTTAGTAAGGACCCCTTAAAAAGAAAAAAAAAACGTGGGGTTCCCCCTCAAAGTCATACCAGGCCCTTAAGGTCTGGTAGGAATTTAAAGGAGGAACCCCACCCCCGATAATAGTGAGGGAAAAAACATGGGGTCCCCCCTAAAATTCCAAACCAGACCCTTGATCTGAGCACAGGCCTGGCAGGTCAAGAAAGAGGGGGGGGGCGAGCGAGCGTCCCCTACACCCCCCCTCCTCCCTGCCATACCAGGCCACATGGCCTCTGCACTGGGAAGGTGCTTTTCCAGGGTCGCACCTGGAAAAGCACCTTGTCCCCATGCCGATGGGGACAAGGGCCTCTTACCCACAAGCCCTGATGAGGTTGTGCTGAGTAAATAAATATCCAACATATCAAGCTTAAACATTGTGTGTGTCCTTGAAATGGCGAAAAAATACAGAACCCTAAATTGTCCATATGCAAAGTTTTAAAAGCCTGGTCATCAGTTTAGAGTTAACCATGAACATTGGTCCTATAATTATTGCATTTACTCTAGCGCACGTGGCGAGAATATCAGCGAATGGATGTTAGCTGATCTCTCTCCCTGCTACCCGCCGACCCCCGTGGTGCCGGTTCCAGGCCCACAGGAGGGGCAGCAGAGCCTAGGAAGCAAGGGAGGGGGGCTCTGTTTACCAGCCCCTAGTTGGGGAGATTTTCACTCACTTTAATTTCTAGTTACAGCACAGGAAGTCAGAGAGAATTTCCAATATAGGAACACAAACAGCAAAAGAACTGATAGAGATTATAAGCCTTCCTCATGCTATTAAATCAATGCTCTTGTTGCTGAGTCCCCAACAGGGATTTAGATAGCAGCAAAAACCTGGCCCTACAGAGAATGTGAGGGGAGATCTGCCCAACTGAAACATACATAAATAAAAACACAAAACGGGTCCTAGACCTCTCCTATTCTATCCAAAACAATACATCCTTCCAGTTTAACTAAACGGATGATAATACTTCACCTGACTACATGATATGTAAATCTTTAGATAGAGATGGATAATGCTATCTTTATAATAAGTGTAGAGAGTTAGCTAACCAGGGTGTCTTTACAGGGTCGACAAATGAAGTGCTGGAGGATGGCAGCCGTTGCTACTTTCATGCTTAGCATAGCAAATCTCATTCCAATGCAGTTTCGAGGTCCATCTCCAAAGGGCAGGAAGGTGTATGGAGTGTAATTTTCTCTGTTTTCCTTGCTAAACCTGTAGAAAAATACATTACTGCCTAATTAAAAATATCGGGATGTTTCAAAACAAGGAAATGCAAAGTAGAAATGTTGCACACAGTAATAAGCCTCCTTTCATGTTCTAAACTACACTGTGACAGGCATGCTATGCGCATAAACAGAGGCGAAGCTAAACATTCCATCACCCGGGGCAAAGACTCAGAGTTGCGCCAAATTGTTTCAAATCGACTGTAATGCACCTAATTGCTCTGTCAGGATCTCAACTGCAGAGGCGGGTAGCATCAACTGGAGCACGTCTCCTGGTTGAGTTGATTCTATAATTAGTGATATCAGACGGAGCTTCAGGCGTCACTCTCAATCATAAAACGGAGAGTTTGAAGCTACCAGCATCATATGTCACCGATCTAAGCTAAACTATGGTTGGTATGGAAAATGTTCCTGGGAGCCGTGAGAGTGGTATATAAACAGCAGTTAATGGCACAGCAGTATTTAAGCACAGTATATATATATATATATATAGCAGTTGATGGCACAGCAGTTTTGAAGCACAGTATATATATAGCAGTTGACAATATATATATATCAGTTGATGCCACAGCAGTGGTAGAGGACAGCGTTTACACAGCAGTTGTGCTAGTAACAGTAATCAGGCAGACTGTACAGGCAACAGGAATTGCTATGGCAGTAGTCTCTATAAGTCAGAGTACACTGACTATGGTACTTGCGGTACTTGAAGAAAACAACCCTCCACGGGTGGTCCAGAGAGGCAGGTTGTAGGTGAGCGGTTCCGTCCCGGTTCGGCTGTAACAAGATGTGTCCCAGGTGAGCTAGCAGGGCGCACACTCTAATTAGTGGAACGCCGCTGCTATGCTCGTTTCCTGTATATATAGGCCGCCTTGAGTGGACGGGGTATGACGGCGTCTTGCGGCCATTGCGTTCCACTGTGGAACGCAAGCCGCTTGTCTCTCAATGGGAAACGTCGGCGTTGCGCTCCAGGATGGAACGCATGACGCCGATTTCATTACAGCACCCCCCTCCTAAGGGAACCCCTCCGGGGTACCCCAGAAGGGTAGGGTCGGTCGGGGTGCCGATCGCGGAACAACCGCTTGATGCGTGGTGCGTGCACATCCCGTTCTTCTTCCCACGAGTCATCGTGCGGACCGTATCCCTTCCACCGTATCAGGTACTGAAGGATCCCCCTCCTCCTCCTAGAGTCCAGGATTTCCTCAACCTCAAACTCTTCCTCCCCCTGTACAATAACAGGGGGCGAGGGCGGAGGCACCCTATTTGGGAAAGGGTTCGGACGGAAAGGTTTGAGGAGGGAGACATGAAAGGTGGGGTGCACTTGCAGTCTATGAGGGAGTAAGAGTCTCATAGTGTTTGGGTTGATTACTTTTTCGATCTTGAAGGGCCCCAAAAACTGCTTCCCTAATTTTTTGGAAGGGGTCCCCAATCTCAGGTTCTTGGTTGAGAGCCAAACTGTGTCCCCTTCTTGATATTGTGGACTCTCTCTCCTCCGCTGGTCATAGTAAAACTTTTGACGGTTTTGGGCGTGCAGTAAGTTCTCCTTCAGGGCCACGAGGGTCTTGCGTAAGGTGGTCATATAATCCTCGCTGGCAGGGACATTCGTGGGGAGGCCTGCTGTTTTGAGAAAATCGCCAATTCTTTTAATTACATGTATGATGGATATCATGGACAGCATCAGCAGCACTGTATTCTGGCATCATACATTTTACATACAGCAGCAGCACCCCATCTGATTCATTACAACTTGTAGGAAGGCTTTTCTAGATAGTTTTGGCTATGATTCCTGATTTTTATCGAGAGGTAATAAGCCTGAGCTGAAAGGCACAATTTTCGAGCCACAACGGATTTAAAAGCATGGGAAATTTACTCTTCAAACAAAATAAAGCTGAAGCTGCAACTTCATACAAATTGGCCAGGGGTATAACAGTTCAGTAGTACCGTTTTTGGCATTTACTTTCGTAATACCAAACTGCATTGTCCTAAGTTTAATAAAATGTCAAAGCAAAGTACATAAAACACTTCAAAACCACAACCCCACATTTCCTGAACTCTCTCCCACCTCTGTATCTGCTATTATTCTGAAAATATTCAAAATATAGACTTCAGGTATGTGTTTGGTAGAAATTGGCCAGTGTTCACACAGAATGCGAGCATTTGGACAGGCGGCAAATTAAGAAACTCTGTCTTTTTTTAATGTAACTGCTGCTGAAAGCACAAATGTGCTCTGAAACTCCTGCCTGCAACAAATCAGTTGTGGTAAATGCATCAGCCATTTGGGTACAACATTCATAAGGAAGGACATCTTTTCCTCCTCCTCCTCAAGGGCACACAACAGCCATTTTACATTGTACAGCTAATGTTTTTGTGGCCTGTGCTACACCATAGAGGCAGGTACCCAGCTGCCATGACTTTGACCTGCAGGACATATCCTGCCTTCCACTAGCATGTTAATTGCTATGAGGCAACAGGAGGCAAAGTAGGAATACAAGGAGAAAGAGTGTGTAGGCACTGGCAGTGAGGAGGAGGAAACCTTTTGGGAAGGCTTCAAGGGGGACGTTTCACCCCTCCTCAATACACAGGGGAAAAAATTTGGAGGATCTACTGCCACCATCCAAAAGGGAGCCTAAAATCACCCACTCTGAGGATGTGGCGTAAATAAACTCTTTGCCATATTTCCTGATGATGGCAGGATCCCCTGCACTGGGGACATAGCCACACAGGCAAAGCTTCCCTTTGTTTGCAGAGCACCACAGATTTATCGCCCCACTGCCATAGGTGCCATTACATTTAGAAAATTAATTTTGTTTAAAAAAAATGGACACATAGGCCTAAAGTGTTTTTAAACAGTATGTACAGGTTAAAATGTTTTAATAACACTAAGGCCCCATTCACACCAGGTCAGTTCGGTCGTGCGGATATTTCTGCGCTGAACTGCCGACAAGAACAACCTCATACTGTAATGCACCTAATTGCTCTGTCAGGATCTCAACTGCAGAGGCGGGTAGCATCAACTGGAGCACGTCTCCTGGTTGAGTTGATTCTATAATTAGTGATATCAGACGGAGCTTCAGGCGTCACTCTCAATCATAAAACGGAGAGTTTGAAGCTACCAGCATCATATGTCACCGATCTAAGCTAAACTATGGTTGGTATGGAAAATGTTCCTGGGAGCCGTGAGAGTGGTATATAAACAGCAGTTAATGGCACAGCAGTATTTAAGCACAGTATATATATATATGTAGCAGTTGATGGCACAGCAGTTTTGAAGCACAGTATATATATAGCAGTTGACAATATATATATATGAGTTGATGCCACAGCAGTGGTAGAGGACAGCATTTACACAGCAGTTGTGCTAGTAACAGCAATCAGGCAGACTGTACAGGCAACAGGAATTGCTATGGCAGTAGTCTCTATAAGTCAGAGTACACTGACTATGGTACTTGCGGTACTTGAAGAAAACAACCCTCCACGGGTGGTCCAGAGAGGCAGGCTGTAGGTGAGCGGTTCCGTCCCGGTTCGGGTGTACAAGATCTGTCCCAGGTGAGCTAGCAGGGCGCACACTCTATTAGTGGAACGCCGCTGCTATGCTCGTTTCCTGTATATATAGGCCGCCTTGAGTGGACGAGGTATGACGGCGTCTTGCGGCCGTTGCGCTCCACTGTGGAACGCAAGCCGCTCGTCTCTCAATGGGAAACGTCGGCGTTGCGCTCCAGGTTGGAACGCATGACGCCGATTTCATTACATAGACTCATTCTCCAGTGCTGCTTTGTTAATTTAGGAGCCGTTTCTGGGCTCACTTCTATTTTCCCTCCGGCTAGAGAGAATTACAAATCCCAGCAATACATTATACAGAAATACAGAATACCATCAGAGGTGTGACACACAGTACAGAGGTCAGCGGTGGGATGAAGAGTGTAGGGGTCAGCAGTGTGACGCACAGTACAGATGTCAGCGGTGTGAACCACAGTGCAAAGGTCAGTGGTGGGATGCACAGTGCAGAGGTCGACGGTGTGATGCAGTGTGTAGAGGTCAGAAGTGTGACACAGAGGTCAGCGTTGTGACGTGCAGTGCAGAGGTCAGAGATGTGACACACAGTACAGATGTCAGTGGTGGGACGCACAGTATAGATATCAGCGGTGGGATGCAGAATACAGATGTCAGCTGTGTGATGCACAGTACAGATGTCAGCGGTGGGGCGCACAGTACAGATGTCAGCGGTGGGACGCACAGTACAGATGTCAGCGGTGTGACGCACGGTACAAATGTCAGTGGTGGGACGCAAAGTACAGATGTCAGCGGTGGGACGCAAACTACAGAAGTCAGCACTCAGCAGTGACACGCAGAGTGCAGATGTCAGAGGTGTCATGCACAGTACAGAAGTCAGTGGAGGGACGCACAGTACAGATGCCAGTGGTGTGATGCACAGTACAGATGTCAGCGGTGTGATGCAAAGTACAGATGTCAGCGGTGGGGCGCATAGTGCAGATGTCAGCGCTGGAAGGCACCGGTGTCAGCAGTGGGACGCACAGTGAAGATGTCAGTTGTGGGACACAGTATGGATGTCAGCGGTGTGATGCACAGTACAGATGTCAGCGGTGTGACACACAGTGCAGAGGTCAGAGATGTGACACACAGTGCAGATGTAAGCGGTGGGACGCACAGTACAGATGTCAGTGGTGGGATGCATAAAGGGACTTACAGTGCACACAGTTGCTCTGTCCTCATGCTCTATTCCTCTCCTGGTGATGGTGGGGGGAGCAACGACGTTGCCTCCATATTCTAAGGTGATGCCTCCAGCCGCCTCCTTGTCCCGATTTCATGTCCTGCTCTCCTCCTCTGTGCCAACCAATGGAAGCCTCCCTCCCAGCCTATGGCAGCTGAAGTGGAAGGAGGAAGCTGCAGGTGGTCGCTGAGGAGCCTGATCACCGAAGCGGGCATCTACCAAGGCAGCTGAACCGTCTTCGCTCCACCCCGGCCACAGCTGCTACAGAACAGCCGAGAAGGGAGAGCTGGCACAAGGGATCACTGCCGCAGCGGAAGCTTTTTTGAACATTTCTTCCCCCTAGACCTGCCGGTGGCGACCCCCCTAATGCGGCCAGTGGCGGTGCCCCCCAGTTTCGGCGCTGCACATAAAGCTTTCAGTAACTTATGTGGTTACTTACTATGGACTACAGTAGTCTTTTTTCAGGATATTAAAGGGTTATAGTGTTATAATATATATAAAACCTAGAATGTTTGATCAGATCTGGTATTGAAGAAATGGAGCTTCAGTATGCTAAGTGACACTAAACTCAGGAGCTAAAACTTAAAAACTAATTCAAGTACCTTAACTATTAATATAAATGTAGCTTCACTGTGTATCACTCGGCTGTAGATCCTCAAATCATCTCTAAATTTGTGCCGACACTGTCCTTCCTTCTGGAGGGTGATAGACTACAATCGCAAGTTAAATTTACTAATTTGTATTGAAATTGTAGTCTATGGCGGAAGTGAGCTTGGAGCTGTGGTTACTTTACAACACACACAGAGATCATGGAGAACAAAAGTTGCCACCCTCCAGAAGGACAGTGCTGGCACCAACTCAGAGATGATTTGAGGATCTACAGCCGAGTGATACACAAATAAGAATTTTTTTTTCTAAAAGTGAAGGTACATGAATGCATTTTTAAGATTTAACTCCTGAGTTATGTGTCACTTTAAAAGTAGTACATACTATATTATAATACTATTTTTGTTTAGGATGTTTTCTATTCACTATCAGTAAGTTGTTTTTTGTGTGAATAAACTCATAGGCTGATTGCATACATGTCCTACTTCCTAAAATAAAAATCAGAATCTGACTAGTTTTATATGGGCAACAAACAATTTCAAATAAAGATAATCCAGTGCAGGTTTATAGATGACCACATATTTGACTGAGTCAGTTCATTCAGCATGACTTTTGGCAGTGAGTTGCAGTATAGCAGTTAACATATTTGACAAAACTGGTGACAAAACAACCTCCACAGAGTGGTCCAAAGGAAGAACCAAAGATTGAGTCAGATGCCTTTGCGACATCTGGAGATAACATCACGACTATCTGTGTATATTGTAGTAGCCTACTTGATGTATAATGATAATTATAACTATTCTCAGTCTTGTCTGCAATATATATCCAGTATCTTAATGTCATCTTGAAGGAGGGAAATAGGAATGTAAGATTCTATTAAGGAAATAAATATAAGAACTTTATCTCTTTACCTTTCAGGCCGGAACTCCTCGGGTTCTGGCCAGTATTCTGGATCGTTATGCAACACATATGCTGGGATCATACAGACCATCCCTCTTGGTATGGTAACACCATTGATTTCAACAGTTTGCTTTGAAATCCTTTCCACTCTTCCTGCAGGAGGGTACATGCGGAGAGTTTCCTGAATCACCATATCCAGATATTCCATTTGCATCAGAATGTCATAGGTGGGGCTGGCCTGAGAGGGTGACATTAATTAAGTAAACATAGGTGAAAAAAACTCTCACTTTAATACATATCCAAATTTTAACTGGATGATATGTAGATTATTAAAGCCCTCTGTATTATAAACAATTACCACTTCTAGAAGAACAAAACTGGGACAGTTCTCACCCCAAATCAACAGGAAGTGTATGAACAAGAACCATGACAGAATCATAATGAGGGGAATTTATCAAACCTGGAGCACAAAAGATCTGGAGCAGCTGTGCATGGCAACCAATCATTCTCTATCTTTCATTCTCAACGTTTAACTGAACAAACTAAAGAGAGAAGTTGATTGGATGCTATGGGCAACTGCTCCAGATTCTGTCTGCTCCACTTTTGATAAATCCCCTCAATGTATCCTGATGTATGCTATATACCCTACAGATCAATATAACACGTTCAGGCTGAGAAATGCAAAATTATATTTGTTTTGTAATAAAAATCTGATTTTTGTTCTTATTGTTATGTCTGTTTGTTTAAGTCCATTGAGGGACTTGGATATATGAGTTAAATTACCACCTTCCAGAAGTGTAGATGCTGCCAAACAAGAAAAATTGGTCAGCCCCTTTATAAGCCTGCCCTCATGTCTCAATTTAATGAGCAAGCAGTACATAAGATGGAGCTGAGCAGCATGAAAAATAATTCCCTATGCTCTTCAGCACCATGTAGTGGCCATGCTGTGGCATTTTCTGAATGTTACATTCAATCTGGAAAGAAAATATATTAAGAACTTAGTTTTTGCCTCTATTGGCGCAGAATGAACATTCTCAGAGATTGACAGGGCGATTGGCTCTGCAGATTGTTTGTAAATACACCCCTTGGTATGGCCGAGATGAGGAAAATGCATCCAACCTCTTAGAACACTGGGAAAAACCCCTGACAATTGGAGGCAGCGTTATAAGAAACTGGTTTTACCATTTGTTTGCCACTGACAAAACCTTCTGAAGGCAGCAGTATAACCCATACATCCAAGAATTATTACATTCCTGTGTCCCTCAATAAAGAAACCCAATTTTCATAACAGTATAATTTCTATAAGTACGTTCCTTTCTGTAAGTACCTGAATTTTGCTTGGTATCAATCTCTTGTGCAGCAAAACTTAGATTGAAAAAGGGAGGGGCATCAAAAGGGGGCAGTCAGGTATGTTGCATATGCATGTGTTAACAAAAAACATGCTGATAGCAGAAGAGGGCAACGGGACAGTGGGATGGGTGGCTGTTGCTCAGTTACAGTCCAGTCACGGGCTGGGAAGGGGGTTAATTCACTTTATTTCCTAACTGCAGAAGAGAAAGATCAGTTTACCAGCCAGAGCTGTGTAAATTTCAGCAGACTGGATGACAGATTTAGCTGTTTGCCAAAAGTTCATCTTTACTGTTTTGAACATTATTTGGTTGTAATGAGTAGGATCAAGAAATGTTTAGGCAACTGCAGATCCTATCAGACACTGCGAGGTGCAGATTCATGGGGAAAGGCCTTCTGGTCTGGGTGATATTATTCTGCTAAACTTTACAATGTTTATTTATGTACATGGTTTGTGAGGGGAAAAAAGGATATTTTTGTGGTCAGGTCTAATAAAAGTTCTGTTTGTAGTAAACCCGTAATAATGTCTCTGGCTAGCTTTACAGACAATATGGTGAATTTTCTGAACCAACCACTTTCTTCACAGTACATTTTTTAATTGACGTTATACAAAATTACAAATGGTAAAAAAGACATTGCTCTCTCTTTCAGCTTACTACACAAGTACTCAATGCATATTAAAATGTACACAGTAATGCTATCAGTGCTATAAGAGCCTGCACCCTTGCTAGACAAGCCCATAGTTGGAAAAGGGAGAAAAGGGGTTAAAGGCTAGAAGAGAATCTGGAAAGGAAAAGAGAAGGATAAGGAGGAGGTGCCAAGAGAAGGGGGAAGGCATCAGGACTGATGAGGTGAAACTTTCTAGCAGGGGTTAAGCATATTGGATCCATGGTAAACAGATGGAAAGAAGGGGAAGGCATCAGGACTGATGTGGGGAAACTTTCTAGCAGGAGTGAAGCATGGGCATATTGGTTCCATGGTAAACAGATGGAAAGAAGGGGGAAGGCATCAGGACTGATGTGGTGAAACTTTCTAGCAGGAGTGAAGCATGGGCATATTGGATCCATGGTAAACAGATGGAAAGAAGAGGGAATTCCAAAGTCTGACAGTTTTCACATGTGTGAATTCATTATAAGAAGCTAACCACTGTTGTTCCAAGAATGTTTTTAACTGCAGTATCCTTGCTTAGGACCCTCTAACACAATAGATCTATTATGTTTCTGCATTGTAGTTACATGGAAATTATCTTCCATATCTATCTGATCCAGTTGTATCACCTACTCTATACTGCTCCACATGTCTGAATACAAACGGCTGCTCGATGTGACTGTCCCTGTTTAGGGCTGTGCTGGCCTGCAGTCAGATCATGCCTACAAATGCAACCCCCCTATACTGTCTACAGCCAGTTTCAATCACTTCAGTTTTGATTACTGCTTGATAATAACAACAAGCGATAGATTGCTAGCAAAAGTGATCTATTGCTGCAGAGGTAACTGGGTCTGGATAATGTCCATCTGTACCTCATTCAGTTCCCTGTGAGAAAAAACAAAATACAAAAAATTTCAAATGCAAAATGAAATAATAATATATTAAAATTAAGGTACTCCCAGTAAAAATGTAAATTACACATGTAAAGCTTCTTATCATGAGGCAGATTATTACCTTGCTGGGCAGATATAAGTCAACTTCCTCCTGAAGTTTTTGTTGTACATCAGGATGTGTTGCCAGGTTATAAAATAGACTGGTCAGTGTCGAACTAGTGGTCTCATATCCAGCGAGTATAAAAACAACAGATTGGGCCATTATTTCTGAATCTGTCAGTGCTGTAAAGATGGATTCAAGGCTTGTTAGAGCACAGATAAATATGTCTTTATTAGCACTAACTACAGCAAGTCCTCATATTCTTAAGCTGGCCATACACTGCTTAGATTTTCAAAAGAACTTTCTTTATGTCAATGGGATCAAATTGGCTATTGGGTTTCGACCATAGGGATGAAGAAACTCGAAGGAGCAGCATGGAAATTTGTTTTCGAATGAACAAAATTATAAGAGCGAATGTTGTTTTTGTTCGGGAAACTCCATTCATTTTAAAATCAAACAAAATTTCAGTCAACATTCGTCAAGTATCTGATGGCATTATTGGGTGGTACAGAAAGATCTTTCCTACACACATTCTTTCAGAAATCTACTAGTGTATGGCCAGCTTTAGATTGGAGAGAACTGGGTGCTTTTTAGGCTTCATGGTCTGCAGACCTGTGACAGACTGTTAACAATACATATCTAAAATGGTCATATCTATCAAAGGTATCCTTGGAAGACCTACTACATCTTATTTTTTTGGTTTAATACCGTATATTTTTATTATCATTATTACACTTTAATATTTCAGCCAAATCCATTTCTACTCTCATCCCACATTCCTACTACTACTCGTACCTTCTTCTAGGGAAGGGGGAGGAAATGTAACATTGTATACCCCTCTAGTGTTATTTTATCTGCCCATATTCAACTCCAATTCTTCCCATCCACCTCCTCTATGTGTATTCCCTCTGTTCTTTTTCTAATATGTCTTATAGACAATCTACTCCCATTGTGATGTGTGCTTGCCTTAGTCTTAACTTCCCCCCACATATATACCCGTGTCCCCCCTCCCTTCCTTCATTGTACTCCTGTTCTACGTGTAACCTAATTAGTACCCTTCAAATCTTGTGCCATATACAACCCTTATGTGATTTCCTCCTCAATTTTACCTTTCAATTTCCCCCATTGTGCACTCTCACCTTTTCTACCTTCCCTTCCTCTTGTCCTCTTCTCCCCTTCCTCCAGAAGACATTCATCCCTCCTTACGATTCAATACTTTACCCATGGCCATATATTCATTACCCTTCTATGAATTAATTATTCCATCCTTTCTATGTCCCTTTTCACCACTCTATCCTCCTCTTAACGCCTTCATGGATTCCTCCATCTGCGTATACATTTCCCATTTTCCCCAGATCTTATGAAAACTCTCCTTTTTATCTAGATCCTTTGCACTTAGTTCCTCCATATATCTTATTTCTTCCATTGTACTAGCCCAGTTCTTTAATGTAGGTGGTGCCATTGATTTCCATCCCTGCGATATATAAACTCTAGTTGCAACCAGTACGAATCTTAGGATATCGCTTTTTATCTTTTTTGGAGATCCAGGTATCAATGACAATAAAAGCCATTAAGGGATCTTTTTCAACATTTTTTGCCTCCATGGCATTGTATATTCCAAATACAGATTCCCAGAACGGTAGCAATCTAGGACAACTCCACCAAATATGCAAGTAAGTCCCCTCCTCTAGTGTGCATCTCCAACATCTATCTGTTAAGTCTGGGTTTATATGTCTGATACCTTCTGGGCACCTGTACCATCTAGATATTAATTTATAGTTCTTTTCTTGGTGGAAAGAAGATATAACAGAGCTATGTGTCATATTGAATATTCTTCCCCACTCTTCATCTGATATCTCTCTCCTCATATCTTGTTCATATATACCATACACCACTGACAGAGTGTGGGTGACAGGTGTTTCTGATACACACAGTTTCTCAAATGGAGTAAATGTCCTATTGAGAGTTTTATAAGTCCTAAGATGTCTAATAAATTCTGATAGTTGCACTGCCTCCATCCATAACTTCCCATTAGTCTGTCTTTCTGGTCTTAAAGCCATTTTTAGTTCTTCTCTACCTGGTTCTAATATTTACCACACCTGCATATGTGGAGTATTCTCTGTGTCTAGTAGTGAGATTGCTTGCATACCTGGCGGAAATTGTGGATTATCCAGAATAGAAGTCAAGGGCCCCGGCCTAGATGATCATTTATATTTAGTTGCATACCTGTCCCATATTCGTAGCACCGATTGTACCAAGAAAGGCAAGGTTGTCATCTGTGGTCTACTCTCCTCTGACAGCCAGGGGAGATTCCTCAAGGGTACTGGGGAAATATTTTTTTACTACCCCTTTATCTTGACCCCTATGTATCCAGTCCAATAGTCTAGATATTAAGACTGCTTTATGGTAAAGTGCAAAGTCTGGGATTCCCAATCCTCCTATTTGTTTTGTTCTCATCAGGACTTTTGCACTTATTCTAGGGGTTTTATTTGCCCATACAAATTTCATTGCTGCCGATTTTAGGAAGGATATCCACTTTTAGGACATTTACTGTACCTATCCATGTCAGTCGTAGACTATTCCAAATAAGGAATTGAGCAAAAATATTATCTATCCAATCTCTAAAATTAATGGCATATAGTGTATTAAGTTTGTTAGGAATATTAACCCCCAAATATACAATATATTTGGCCTGCCATCTAAATGGGTAGCTATTCTTTATACTAGTTTTAACTTTGTCAGTTAGGGATATATTTAAAAATTCATATTTAGATAGATTTATTTGGAAATTACTCAGATCACCATAGTTCTTTAAGAATATTAAAGGAGAACTATGGGGTCAGTGTTTTTCCCCATAGTTCTCCTTAGGGTAACGGGAGGACACAAACTAGCGTCTTCCCGTCACCCTAGGCTCAGTATACCACGAGCTACAGCTCGCGGTATACTGAGACGGCGCACCTGGAGCGGATCCCGACTTAGATGACAGGATCCGCCCAGCTGCTTGAGTGACAGCTGGCTCTGCCTACCTAGAGGCAGAGCCAGCTGTACCCGCCCCCTCCCCCGTCCGTTCCGCCAGTCAGCGCTGGCAGATCGGAGCAGGGAGAGGGGAATACAGCCCCTCCCCCTGTCACGGCAGAGAGATCAGGGACAGGATCGAGAGGTGAGGGAACCCGGTATGTTTTCCCTCACCTCCCGATCTACTGAGCCGACCTGTGACAGTCTCATTGTCACAGGTCGGCTTAGAACTATGAGGTGAGTGGAAATCACTCATGTCATAGTTCTCCTTTAAGTATCGATATTATTGGAGAAGTTATTAAAAGGAGTAAGTCATCCGCATATAGTGATATTTTATGCTGTTGTGTTATAGTGGGCATGCTTTTAATCGAAGGGTTCTTCCTAATAGATGCCGCTAGTTGTTCCATTACTATAACATATAATAAAGGTGAAAGGGGGCATCCCTGCCGAGTGCCGTTGAATATTGGGAAGGGGGCGGATACCTCCCCATTGACTCTAACCCTTGCATTTGGGTGTGTATACAATGCCATCACTTTAGATAAAAAGAATTCCCCCACTCCCGCTTGCGCTAGGGATTCTCTGAGAAATTTCCAATTTACTCTATCAAATGCTTTTTGAAAATTGACAATTTTTATTTTGAAGGTTGCATATAGAGAATACAAAACTTATGACATCATTTGAGATATCAAGCTTAATCAACATTCAACCAGAGGCCATTATACATACATCATTTTGTTGTTTCACTATAGCGTAGAAGACGGGATATTCCCCATCCGCCACCCTACCGTTCTGTATGTCATGGCTATATAGCAAATAAAGTTTCGTTCTGGCTTCTTTTGTCTAATCTGAGCTATCTGGCTTATACCTTTCAAATGTGGTGCATCAACAATTAACTGAACATCTTTATAAACAATGCAAAAATATAGCAGAGAAAGAAGAAAAGAAGAGAAAGTGGGTGTAAGTAAGTAAGCGTCTTCCAGGACAACAGTCTGTATGGACATCATGAGCAACATATACCAGGGCTCCTCCCATATCTTGGTCTCCTTGGTTCCTTACGTCTGGGTCAGTTTCCCCCCTCCGTCTACTCCTCTCACACCTCTCAGTTCATGCTCACCTCATAGGCATCCCACGGTCTCCACACCCCTTTATGGGTTTCAACTGTGTAATTTAGCTGTGCTGTCAGGTATTCCATCACCTGTCCATCTTTAATTCTAGCAAAAAGATCAATTTTAGAGGGGTGGGAGTTTTCTTTTCCATTGCAGTGGTATTAGACAGTGGGCTGCCGTGAGGATATGCATAGTCAATTTCCTATTAGCCCTTGAGAGGTCAGGGAAGGGCAGTCCCAGGAGGTAGTGTATGGGAAGGTCCGAGAGTGGCTGACCCACTATCTGTTCTAGAATGCGTTTTACCTCTCCCCAATAGGGTTGAATGCTAGGGCATGTCCAGAATATGTGGAACAGGGTGCCTCTGGAACCTTCACATCTCCAGCAATTTGGGGATAGCTTTGGGTTGAGTGTATGGAGAAAGTCCGGTGTGTGGTACCAGTGGTACATTATTTTGTATTGATTTTCTCTATAAACCGAACAAATTGAGGACTTTGCTGCCATTCTCCATATTCGTTCCCATTGCTGAGGTGAGATTGTGGTTGCCAGAGCACTGTCCCATTTCCGCATATAGGGTAGGTTTACCTCTTCTTGCACTGGATCTTCATTTAGTATGCCATATAAAAAAGAAATCACACCCTTAGAGGAGTGGGGCGCCAAACATTGAGTCTCAAATGGGGTGCGTGAGGGGAAGGACCGTGTTTTAGCAATTGACAAAGCAAAATGTTTAATCTGTAAATATGCGTATTGTGCGCTGATAGAAAGATTGTGTTTCTCCCTAAGTTGTTCGAAGGGCATTATCTTATTTGTGACCCTATCCAGTAGGTCCCTAAGGTGAAAGAGACCCCTGGATTGCCACATCTTTACCCAGTCCTTAGACACCCCTGCCTGTAGTTTTGGATTCAGCAGAAAGGGAGTCAGTGGGGACCGAGCCGTCGTCAGTCCTTTGGCTAACTTAAACTTATTCCATATTTCCAGCGTAAGCCCTGTGGAGGAAAGCATGGCACCCCTAGGTATTTGCACTGGGTCAGCCCATAGTAGACCATTGGGGTGGGTCGGTGCAA